TATTTATGCATGTGTATTTTATTCACATCTCATTTTTATTATCTGTGTGTTGTTGTTGTCTCCGTGTACTGGAAGCTTGTGACACTATAACAAATTCCTTGTATGTGCAAACATACTTGGCAATAAAGCTCTTTCTGATTCTGATTCTGATTCTGAAGCTGCTGTTAGAAGCTCCAGTTCCCATAGAAACCCGAGACTTCCGCTTAGGACTGCACATGCGCATTGGTTAGTCTAGCCTGAAAAATAAGCTTTTTAAATGCTATTTGAGCATAAGGAACAGCATTTATGGGCCAATTCATTTACATTTTCAAAAATTAAAAGTTGATCCTATTGCAAATTACAAACAAAATTCATAGGCACTACATGAAGCCCTGTCTTAGAATAAAGGCTTTTTACTTTGCTAACTATGCGAGTGCCTAGATGTGGATTTTTATTTATTTATTTTTTGTATTTTGCAATAGGATCCACTTTTCATTTTTGACATTTTGTTCCCTCTCTGGAGCACCCATATTTTTTGTCTGCGAGTACCTGATGCCCCCCTTTGTCAAGATTTTTTCATTGATTATCATTTCAAATTTTGTTGTCGATTTGAAATATATAATTTAATTGTGAGTTTAGCAGGCAGTTTTTGAGATTTCAGGATTCCCCCATTCATTTAGACAGGAATTGGTTTGATTTGAAACTTGAGCACGCACAAGACGTGACATGTGAAAGGCCACTAACACTATAGCTTCAGATAATTAAAGAAAGAAAATAAAAAGATTTGGTGAAAAAAAGATGATTTGATGAAGTAATTACAGCATGGCCATTTCATTCAACAAGAGCATAGAGTTGTGTATGTCAATGTATGTGCACACAATAGGGCTACCTTGTAGCGAGTAGCTTTGAATCCTTGTTCAAAGTCAATAAAACCTAAAACCGAAGAAGATTGGCATGCTTGTCTTGTTAGCATTCATTTACATAGTTGGGAACGCCTTGGGAGAACACAAACTTTGGGTTACCAATTTAGGGGGGAATTGAAGCAATTCCAAATCAGTTGTCTAGGACCGATGAAAGCATGTAAGTGTAGTGGTTTTATGAAAGGTTAATTGTTAATGCTTTCTGGAATACCTGCTAAATGAGTGACGCATGAAAACGTTTTCCTACATCTTTATTAATCTTGCTAAAATACTCAACTATCTTAATTATTAAAGTCATACTTTATTATTTACATGCAGATCATGTGTTTGTTTTCATCAGATTTCCATCCATTCACGTTGGATTCGAACACAATATGTTCAAGTCTCCGTCTGTCTGAGGACAACACAGTGATCACTTCCACCAGCTGTAATTACAGATATCCCAATCATCCCGACAGATTTGACTATTGGATAGAGGCGTTGTGTATAGAGAGTGTCAGTGGACGCTGTTACTGGGAGGTTGAGTACGGCGGTAATGAAGGTGTCCATATAGCAGTGGCATATAAGAGCATCAAGAGGAAGGGAAAGAGTGGCAATAGTCGATTTGGGTATAATGATCAGTCCTGGAGATTGTACTGCTGTAACTCCAGTTGCTCATTTAGACACAATACCATACGGACTGTACTCCCTGTGGTGTCCAGCCATAAAATAGGAGTGTATTTGGATCACAGCGCAGGAACGCTGTCATTTTTAAGTGTCTCTGACACAATAAGTCTCATCCACAGAGTCCAGACCACATTCACTCAGCCACTCTATCCAGGGATAGGATTACAAAATAACACAACAGTGAAACTGTGTCGTCTAAATATGTAAATAATATTGCCATATCACATCTAAGCATTGTGAAACAGAAAAAATGAGATATGTTGCTTATTTTCTAATTATTTAACAGCTAATATCTCAGTTGTGATAATAGTTTTAGCAAATTAATCAAAAGATGTTTATGTATGAGGAGAAACTGATCATCAAAACTGTGATTTATGTCTTTTGTTGGAATTTGTTGAAACTTTTGATTACTTTTGGTGAATGACTGTCTAAAGTAACTTTCAAATCTGATTCTCATGTTGTTAAAGAAAGACATTTATAGACTGTTGTTGTTGTTGTTGTTTATATTTTGTGTGCTGTTTAGTGGACTTTTATACATAATTTGCTATGGTTTTATATCTGAATATATCATATCCTAATACCTGTGCTTCAAAGGATTAATCAATGAATAAATCAAAAGAAAACCAAGATAGACATGTTGTCTTCAGTCCGGCTCAGATCTCGTGTCTCAACACCAGGATGCTTTCAGCTATATATCTCATATCAAACACAATGCATAATAGCCTGCTTTATAAATAAATTTTTAAAATCTCTTTCAAAAGTACATGTGTATTTTATTTTAAAACCTAAAGAAAACATGATCAGTTTACTTGATATCAAATCTGCATAAGCAGAACTTGTAGTTTATGCCAGTGCTTAAAACAAGTGGAAAATAATAATAATAACAACAATAAATCTGCCCAAGATAAAATACTCTCATCTTTTGTTTGGATGGTGAGGTGTTTGTAATGACAGGATTCAATTTTAAAGCACAACTAAAAACATAATGGTAACATTTCATCCTATGACTTAATTTTTAAACAAATGTGTTTTTATAATACTGCAGAAAAGTTATTACCATGTCCTTTACGGGTATCTAAAAAGATATGAGGTCATATAGGTTTTATATATTTAGCATTTCTTTTGTTAATGATCTCAGAACACTGAGGAGAACAAGACAGATGTGTTGACTTCATTCCAACTTTAATTTACTGTGTAGTCACATTAAAAAAATGCTAAATCTTTTTCACTGGAAATGAAAATATGTTCCTCAGAAATGTAATGTCAGCAGAAACAATGAGCACTATATTTATTACCTTTTGATGGCTTTGGGTGTTTGTTCTAAGGAACTGATTGTATGTTGCTTGCCTGCAGCACTGGAACATTCTTTAACCTGTTCCAGATCTCATCAAACCACATTCCTAATCCATCAGAAAGTTCAGCGCTTTTGCTACTAGTAGAAATTAATTTGGTTGATTTAGCTCTAGGAGAGACGATTATATTTCCAAATAGTGCTTGTTGGTGTTGGAAGGGTTTAGTTCTTATAGAAGTGATGTTGTAATTTATTGAAATTTGTATGTCATGAGTTCGTTGGTCATTTCATTGTGCTATTGGAGTATGGAAATCAGTAAGGGTGCATCCTGCAGAAAAAAAATAAATTTAAGTTAATCATGATCAGAATTTTTACTTATATATACCTTTAAGATACTGTACTACTATGCATCCTTTAGAAATAAATATAAGGTGGACCTGTTTAAAGGGTACCACAGTGACAGCTTTTGTACCTTTTTATTTTTGACAATCCATATACTGCCACACCTATCATTAAAAACACTACAGTACCCTTAGAGTAAGTCACACCCTACAGAAATATCTGTTTCTCAAGAATGTAATTAAGCAACATTTGTCTCCATGATCATAACAGCTTTTTAAATAATAAATTATAGTAAATTATATTTTTAAAAATATAATAAAAAAATAAATGCAGAAAGTTTAGTGTGACGGGTAGGTTTAGGTGTTGATACAGTATTAAAACCACTATGTCTATGGAAAGACTCCATAAAACATGGACACATGGTCGGGGTCCACAATAATTTAATTCAATTTATGCATTTAGCAGATGCTTTTATCCAAAACGACTTCCAGTGCATTCAGGCTATACATTTTTTACCAGCAGTAGCGGTTTTAGGCAAGGGCGAACCGGGCAGCCGCCCGGGGCGGCATTTTTTCATAATACATGGGGGGGGGGGTGGACGGGGGATCCACTGTATAGAGCAATGCTCTAATGGAATTAGTGGGCTAAAGTCAGTCATTAATATTAATAATATTATAAATACAGGCCTGGTTCCTGCACATTTTTGTTTTTCTGAATTGTGTGAAATGGCTAATAAAAATAGGTAATACAAAACGATTATGTGGTCACCAAGGTGAATTGGTTTAGTCTTGACTGGTTTTAGTTTTAGTTTGTGTTTTCTGTTCTTAGTGCAATAGTGTAATAATTAGATTCTCTTTAGTGTGTTTTCACATTTGTGTGATGAAGGAGTTGTGCTATTTAGAATATTTATTCTATATTTTATTTGTATATTATTCTTAATATTTTATATTGTTGCTCTCTGCTCTTGTTACATTTTTTATATATCTGATTGTATATATTTTTGGCACATTTATGTATATAGTGTATATTTATTTAAGTTCTGATAACTTATACTGTCATATTTTGTGCAGAATTGTGTTCATTGTCTTTTGGCAATGTTGGAGGTGGAGATTGTGCACCTTAAAAAGTGTGTTTCCTGTTGTAATTGCAATAGTTAAATAACTGGATTCTCTTAAGTGTGTTTTTCAAATGTTCTAATGAAGGATTTGTGCAATTGAGAAATATAATTTTCTCTTTCACTTATGTTGTTATAATAAAATATAACTGTTTCTGCAGAAATTTGTGGGGGGGCACTCGAAGGGATCTCGCCCAGGGTGTAATTCAATGTAGAACCACCACTGTTTACCAATATGTGTGTTCCCTGGGAATCGAACCCACGACCTTTTGGGCTGTTAACGCAATGCTCTACCACTGAGCCACAGGATCAATATGCCTTATGGTTGATGAATCGGTATTTTGAACAATGGCCTCTATGCTAGCCTCCTCTGTGAGGAAGTGTCACAGCATGCACGCCCCAAAGGCGTTGTGGATGGGGATTCGTGTTGGAAGACGCACATGCATTGCACACAGAATAACCTATTGTGCATTTTAAACAGAGAAAATCATTAGGGGTTGCATCCAGTGCGAAACTATTACCCATATCTGACACTTCTAATCACCCCCGCCCATTTTGGCAGAGACTTATGCTGTGTGAAGAGCGCTCATGCTGCAGTTTTGTGTTTCAACTTAAACTAAGCTAATTTTATAAACCTTTCATTCGCAGAATGGACATCCTTGCACAAGGAAATCTTTTTTCTCATGGAAAAATGTAAGATGAGTTATATTTATCATATTTTTATTTATATACATCTTTAAATAAGAATAAATGTATTTTATATATTCAATTGTGTGTGTGTGGTTCCGTTGTTCTGTAGTAATACTTCAAATGCTTGACCGGAGCAAAATTTGTACCCATGAGCATAACAGCTTTTTAAACGATAAATTATAATAAATTATGTTTATTAAAAAATAAAAATGCAGAAAGTTTACTGTGATGGGTAGGTTTAGGGGTGGTACAGTATAAAATTCATTAATATAATGTAAATATAAATCTAAAAGTTTCTAAATATATTGTAGAAACTGTCATTTCTGTGAAGCTGCTTTGCAATGATTTGTGTTGTGAAAAGCGCAATACAAATAAACATGAACTGAAATGAATTATGTCTATGAAAAGCTTCCATAAAACATGGTAAATAATTTGACATGTCCGGACATGTCAGGGCTCACAATAGCCTTTATCGTTTTGGCCTGTATAATATAATATAATAAATATAATATAATATATTATATTATATGTATAGGTAATTTTGTGAAGAAATCAACTATCTGGCAGTTAGTCCTGCCCTCAATCTTTTTTTTTTTTTTTTT